TATAAAATAATGATGATGATAATGATAATAATAATAATAATAAATTTTTTAAAAAGTCATAGAGACTTTTTTTAGAAAGTGAGCCAGGAAAGAAATGGACTATTGATCCATTCCAGTACACACCCAGAGCCAAGCTGGATTAGACCAAGCCCCATCCCATCCAGTGCATGGTGAGTGCTAGTCATCAAAGCAATCTGGGATCCTGGCACACCTGGAATCCAAAAGACCCAGACTTCCTAGCGGTTTGATGCCAAAATACTAATGCTATCACCTGAAGTATTTTGTCAGGTAGAATTCTTTAGTTTGTACATGATTAAGCAATTTTGTAATGATAAATGGAAATAGTATCATACTTTATAGAAGTACTTTAGGTCTGCCTAGCAATGATAAAGAAAAAAAAACTAATATCTGTTACTGAAATTTGTTCCTGCAAATAATTAACATAATGCTGCCTATCCATGAAGTCAGTCATGTATTTGATCAGTTCCTAAATGCAACATTGTTTTTTTTTTTTGTATCCGATTTTATTTTTTAAGACCATAAAGACCATAAAGTTACTCTCTATAGGAGTATTGTATCCTAGAACTTTACTGGCAGTTATGGTTCCCATACAATTCTATTAACTCAGTCTTCCAAGATCATTTTTTATTTCTAAAGTGGAAGTAACATCGTTCCTGCCCTGGAATTTCTTGGCAGTGACACCTGACTTGCATTAAGAACTTGACAAGGGCCAGGAGCATAATTTATTGTAATTTTTAAACCATGAAGTAATGTATAAATGATTTTTTTTCATAATAGAACTATTAAGCAAAAGAATTTTTGCATTTAACAATTTCTGTCTCCAGGGTCTCTGTAATTGAATCTCTTTACCTGAGCGTAAGTGGAGTCAGAGCTAATTTTTATTAAGTGTCCATATTGATATTGATGGAATGCATTATGGCATTTCCCACATCCTTTTAAACGTCTCAAATTATACAGCAATAGTATGTGTGCTTTTATTTTAAGCAACCAACTTTAGAATCATGTTTCTTTTGAGTCCTGAAAGATTTTTATTCAGTCTTTTGTTTTTCTTTTTCCTCTTCCCTATTAATGATTGTGTTCTTGAAAGCTGATTCATGACGGCTGCTTTCTGAACTGTCTGGGTTTACTAACTTACAGTTTCTCAGACTGCAGCACCAACAGCCTTATGATGCCATCCCTGAATGGCCCTGTGCTACACTGCCCTGTCCCCCAGCCATGCAAGAGAGCAGCCTTAAGCTGGTGGAGATCATGTTCCTTCATGTTGCAAACGGTGCCTTTCGGATACACAGGAAGCACTGCCTCTGTGTTGGTCTCTGGATGTTGCCCAGATGTTTCATTGGTTACATTTGACCTTCCTGTAGGGGATAATGGGTCTCAACCTTGGCTGCACAATTGGAGTCTGCATAAAACACTTATGCCTGGGTCCTGCCGCACAGATTCTGATATAACGTGCCTTGGGTGTGGCCTGAACATTGGGATTTTTTTAAGCTTCTTGAGTGATTCCAACATGCAGTCAGGATTGAGAAGCACTGCTGAGGAGCCTCACCTGTATCCTTGAGCTTTTAAGGTCAAGTTTATTTGTTTCCTTTATGACACAGTTATTAGCTCTCTGGCTAAAAGATTCATAAACATGCCAACGGACCTGTGGGCAAATCATTGATCGATAGCCAATTCTATTAAAAATCCACTCTTGGGGCGCTTGGGTGGCTCAGTCGGTTGAGCGTCCGACTTCGGCTCAGGTCGTGATCTTGCTGTCTGTGAGTTCAAGCCCCGCGTCGGGCTCTGTGCTGACAGCGCGGAGCCTGGAGCCTGTTTCGGATTCTATGTCTCCCTCTCTCTCTCTGACCCTCCCCCATTCATGCTCTGTCTTTCTCTGTCTCAAAAATAAATAAACGTTAAAAAAAAAATTTTTTTTTAAATCCATTTTTGGGATGCCTGGCTGGCTAGGTCGGTGGAGCATGTGACTCTTGTTCTCAGAGTTGTAGGTAGGAGTCCCATGTTGGGTATAGAGATTACTTAAGAATAAAATATTTTTTAAAAATCCATTCTTAGCACCCTAACACATTTCCCCATGTCTTTAGTATTTACTTCTATGCAGATAATATCAGTAACAGCTAACACCTATGCAAAGGAACCTCAGAAAGTGCCTTATGTACACGAACTCATTTAATGCACGGGTGTGGGCCTGGTCTCCTGCCGGAACTCCAGTACTGCCTTTTCAAGTGCCTATGGAGGATACCCACCCTGAACAGCTCTCGTCTCCAGCACAACATGTATAAAGCTTCATGTGCCTCTGTCTACTAGCATTTTCCACACTTCTTTTAGCGTCAGATGGACCTGGCTCAAATCCCAAACCTACCATTCACTGGCATATGACTTCAGTTTCCTTAGTTACAAAGTGGTGATGATGGTGATAATAATAATGTCTGCTTCATAAATTTGTGTTTCCCAAGATCCTCTCTGTAAAGTGCGTGGTTTCTAATGCATAGCAGGCACTTAACAAACGACAGTTACTCTTATTGTTTAAAAACTTGACCGTGTTACCATCAGAGCTTCCTATTTTTCTTCCTTACTATCTGTTGGCAATTCTTATTTTACACTGTAAACGTTTCAGTGAGTCACCACACTGCCCTCAGGCCTCCATGGCTGCAGTGACTCCTAACTGGGTCCCCTCCCTTTGGATTCCTCCCCTCCTTCCCACCCTGAATCCACTCAACACATTCTGAAAACCGTTGCTGAAAAACCACCATGTGTTGGGGCGCCTGGGTGCCTCAGTCAGTTAAGCGTCCAACTCTTGACTTTGGCTCAGGTCACGACCTCATCGTTCGTGAGATTGAGCCCCACGTGGGGCTCTGTGCTGACAGCACTGAGCCTGCTTGGGATTCTCTCTCTCCCCCTCTCTCTCTGCCCCTCCCCCACTCGCTCATAATAAATACATAAACGTTAAAAAAAAAATACACCATGTGTTATGTTCCTCCCTAGCTCAGAAATCTCTAAAGTCCTCCCACCGCTCACTGCATCCTGCCCAAACCCCTCAGCTAGGTTTTTAAAAATTTCCTCACATAATTTGGCTCCAACTATCTGATTAAATGTCCCAGTTACTCCGCACACTCCCCTGTGCCCTGAGTTAGTAGGGTCTCCTCGATCATCTTTCAAACATGCATGTGGGGCTTCTCCCAGCTCTCGCTGCCCTGCCCCAGCGTAAGATACAGATTCTCTTGTGTTTACGAGGCCTGGCTCCAATAAAGCCTCCTTTTGGTGATCTTTTCCATCTTGATCTCTGCTTACCCTCCCCTACTATCACTTTTCTGTAACACTGATCCCAAATGCAAATACTGGGGGGAGCCAGGCAATCAAGATCATTGAACGGCTGTGGCACAGTCTTCATTTAATGGAGCAGCTGGCCACCTTGGCCTGAAGGAAAATGCAGGCCAGTTGTTGAAAGAATTCCCCAATAATTTTCAAGAGAAAAGCTGTTTTCTGGTTTGTTTGTTTTTTACTTGAAATCTCCTAATATTTAAATGTTGGTAGTTCATTTAAATCTTTAAAAACAATTATATGCCAAGAAAAATAGATCATTAGGGCTGGGTACAGCCCCAAGGCTATAGTTTTGTCTCCTATGCTTTATAGTTTGTTGACCACATGGTTTAGGACTTAATTATTTATCTAACTGATGTGTTTTATTTCTGTCTTCCTAACCAAAATATCTACTTCAGCAACCCCACCTTCCTCATCTGTACATACGTTGCTGAACTTAACATAGTATTAGCAATGGATAGTAATCACTTAGTTGACTCATTAAAGAAATATTTAATGAGTTTGTATGGCATGTCTTGCACAAGACTCCACAATTTTTGTTTTCTGGTTCCTTTCGTTGTGTTGTGAAATAGTTCATGGAAATGTTCAGCATTTTTTGTCATGGCTCTGCGTCTGATTCTCATATTTATCATCAATTTTGTGTCCCAGCTTGTTGGTTAGTCACTCTGTGGCACAAAGCTAGATTTTTCTACGAAAAGAGGAACACACTGTGTTACTCTTATATTTTAATGAGACTTACCATTGGATGACATATGAAACATCTTTATTTTTCTTAATGTTTATTTATTTATTTTGAGGGGGGGGAGGGAGGGATTGAGCCCACGCATGGGGGAAGGGCAGAGAGAGAGAGAGGGAGAGAGAAAATCCCAGGCAGGCTCTGATAGCACAGAGCCCGACACGGGGCTCAGTCTCACGAACTGTGAGATTATGACCTGAGCTGAAATCCAGTCGGATGCTTAACCAACTGAGCCACTGAGGCACCCAGATGTGGATGATCATAGCACTTGGCACATATTAGGAGTGTAACAAATAGCATTATTATTTATTCTTTGCTTTGCCAGGAAACATGGTGACTCTGCAGTTATGTCTGAATTCTGTGTTTATATCAAGATTATTTTACCCTGCAGTATAAAATGTATGTTAATTATAAGTCTAAAGTAATTTTCGGTTATAGTGCCTATCTAGAAGACATTTTGTACGTTTTTCATAGGGCAAGTCTGGAAACTCGCTGTTCTTGCTTTATATACCACATACTTTCACATTGTAACTTCCTGTATAATTGCCATGATATCATCTCAGCAGCAAGCAGATATTCCACCCTGAACAGTTACCATCAGACATGAGTAACTCTGCTTGACTCATATTAGTTTGGACTGAAGAGGGAAACATATTTGACACACACATGGTCACACATTGTAACTATGCAAACAGAATTGTTATTCTCAACCAAAATGCCGCATAGAAATATCTTAAGACTTTACTTCAGCTCTGTTAGAGCCTCCAGCTTGAAGAGGTGAGTGAGAAGCAAAGCCACTGAAAGAATTGCCTCCTTTTACTTGTTGACTGTGTTCTCATCCCCCTGGCAGTGTTTTTACATGGTGATGTGATACATCAGGACATTGCACAAACCGGGACCCTTCTCTTTTTATGGTTTGCTCTAGGTACTCAGCGTGCCAATGCCCGGGCTCCTGCCCCTTACAAGCGAGACTTTGAAGCCAAACTAAGGAACTTTTACAGGAAGTTAGAGACTAAAGGATATGGACAAGGCCCAGGGAAATTAAAGTAAGTCAAAGTGATACAAACCACAGGCTTGGGTGATGGTGAAGGGATGGGATGCAGTTGGGAATGTAGGAAGTTGATTGTGATTTCAGATGACCAGTCTTTGTTTTAGTCAGTGTAATAATTTTGGTAATGATGTGTGAATTACAGGATCATCGAAAACAAAGTTCTGGAATTAAACACCATTCTGCTTAAGGTTTTAAAACAAACACCACGTTCCATGTAAAAATATAGGCAAAATAAAAAGCTGATTTATTTCTCCTGAAAAGTACCTCTTTGTTTTTGCTTACAGTACATTTGACAGCCGGAAGGCTGTCACAGTGTCCTGTATCAGTCTCCTCACCTGACTGTAGGAACACTGCTCAGCTTTGTTTTGTTCTGTGAAATAAATGTCACTTGTCCAATGAAATATGTCATGAATGTTGTTTCTGCCTTTCTTTACCCACCTTTCAATGAGGAAATTAAACATCATCACGCTGTTTGGCCTTGAATTATTTTCATTCCCTACTTATCCGTACTGCCTTCATCCTCTCCTCCACTGCTGCCCCACGTACCCACTGGAGATCACTGTGCCACCTGAGAGAGGGCAGAGGAGGAAGGGTCTCCACTGCCACACCCGTGATGCTGGGTGCCTGGGAGGAGATGCAGGAGCCACCCCCAGCTCCCCAGCTCACTGCCCCACAGAGAGGGCTCCCTCCAGTATATTCACAGGTCCTACTTTCTCACCCTCAAAGTACATCAGCTTGAGATTCCCCTTTCTCACGCTTCACTTAAGAAGGGCTTGAGCTCAGGCTTCCCTGCATTCAGCCTATTATTTCCCTTTCTAGGACTATCTGTACTAACTGCAAACTGATACCTTCAGGATGACTTTTATTATCATCATCACAAGTAGACTGTCGGCTATGAGTATCGTCCATTTGTATCTGTCACTCGGGGAACCTCAGATTCACTTAATTTGAGAATTAAATTAAGCATAGTCATAAATGTGTCTTCTTTGGAGAGCGTGGAGGGTTTTGTTTTGTTTTTTGTTTTTTTTCCTTCTGGTTCTGATAAGTCTTTCCCTGCATACTTCGTAATTGAATTCCTTATCTAGGTACATTCTCACTGAAAACATGACCTCATAGGGCTGTCCTTTCTTTATTAACAAAAGCTTTGGGTCTATGTTGTTTTACAATCATCTTCCTTCTGGGGTAAATTGATTTGGCCACTCAGAAAGGACTCATGAGCCGTTTTCATATGTTGTAGGTGGAGTGCTCCACTTAGGTAACCATTTGCTTGTGTATTTTGACCTCTACTGTTAAGAGCAAAAGCCAAATGTGTATTATTGCAGACGACAATGTAGTAAGTCACCGCAATTTTCACCTAGTTAATTATGGCAAGTGGGAATTGAATCAAAAGTGTCCGGTTCTAGAAAGATAAGGATTAGGAAATAATCTGTTTTTCAAATGTCTCTTTATGGACAGGTTAATTATCAGAAGAGATCACTTACTGGAAGATGCTTTTAATCAAATTATGGGCTACTCCAGAAAAGACTTACAGAGAAATAAGCTGTACGTCACATTTGTCGGGGAGGAAGGGTGAGTAGAACAGAGAAGTGGTGTGTGGAACACAGACTGCGGCTGCACAGTGGATGCTTCACCACGTGGTTGCTGTGGTTGCCTGAAACAGGAAACCCTTCTGGCAGGAAATGCCATTCTCATACACTTAAACCTCTGGGCTTTTTTTTTTTTTTTTTTTTTTTTTTCCTAAGGCTTCCTCTGGTTTTTAAATCATTTGACATAGAAATTCTTGGGTAAACGCTAGTAACTGTAGATCATTTTGAGAGCAGAAGCTCGTTTGGTTTCTTCTCTGTGCATATCTCTTTCTTAAAGGGAAGAAGTGGGGCTGTGAGGGACAAGACAGGAATTCTGCTCCCTGTGAGCACGTAATCTGCACTGGGGTGGAAGGAGTACACGCCTCACCTGTTCAAGAAGCTCCGTTTCAGAGTCACGGATTAGAATCCTGCTCTTCTACCTGGAAGCTTCTGAAGCAGTGACTCCCGGGCCTTGGTTTTTATTTCTCTGTCGCCGGTTTTCCTCTTTTTGGGGGGACAGTAACACCTACCAAAATAACCACCTGCCATAAACAAATGTCTCCGGCCTTCTATGACTCTTCCGTGAGTGCGCTTGTGGAGATGAGGGTTAAGAAACAAAGGAGCAAAGACTCCTACGCACTGTTTATTGCGTCCACATAGACATAACAGCTGTTCTGTAACACTTCCGAAGGTGACAGCTCTCGTCTTGTCCAGACCCCCTTCCTCCTTCCTCATTTCAGGTCTGGGTTTCAAGTCGCAGCACCTTCTTTGTAACCCAGCCATCACGAGGGCCAATTTAAAAAGTACCACACGATAGCCTGAACTCTGGCTGTTTTCTTGACTCTGTTGATTTGGATCATTTTATTTTTTTATTTATTTATTTTTTTTTTAATTTTTTTTTTCAACGTTTATTTATTTTTGGGACAGAGACAGAGCATGAACGGGGGAGGGGCAGAGAGAGAGGGAGACACAGAATGGGAAACAGGCTCCAGGCTCTGAGCCATCAGCCCAGAGCCTGACGCGGGGCTCGAACTCACGGACCGCGAGATCGTGACCTGGTTGAAGTCGGATGCTTAACCGACTGCGCCACCCAGGCGCCCCCGATTTGGATCATTTTAAAGCTACTCTTCTCAGTCCTGCCCAGGAAATAAAGTGTGCTAGATTATAGACTCATAGTAGTAATACCCAACCATTCAATATATGCAGCCATTCAATATATGGTTAATTTGGAGGCTCCAAAGTGTACAATAACTTGCGCATGCTGATGGAACTAGGTAACAGCAAAATCAGGATTCAAAACTAGGCTTTTCATCCAGGACTCTTGGACCAGCACTGGGATAGAGGCAAAACTCCTGAACTCTGCTCTGTCAGAATTTTTTCCTACCTGTGGATCTTTTCACTCTTACAGCTGACTGATAACCACTAGTCTCATCACATATGCTGTTTATAGTCCCAGCTGTAACTACATTGAAGGAAAATATTATATGGGAACACAAGACTAAGTGACAGAATTTGGGCAGAAGCTTGCCCGTGACTTGTTTTCATTGCTGAAGTGCATTAATAGACTTCTAGCTTCTGTTGGCTTAAGATGCAGGTGCACAGTTGAAAATGAAGGCAAATGTTTTAAGCCTAATCATAGGTGTGCATGGCATTCCAAATATTTCCTTACATAACTAGTCTCGTTTGGGTGAGAATACTTTTCCTCCCCCAAGAGTCCAGCTGCCTTCCTTCTTTGTTTGCACAGTTTGTTGAGATCTCAGAGATGTAGGGAAGAGTCTTTGGAGGCCCTGGTACTGAAGTTTGAATAGAGCGGATGCTTATCCTACTTGATCATCCTCAGGTAGTTGTCCTATGATCTGGACTGATGACATCTGTTCCTAGGAGGAGGCCCAGGCTGAGTGTGGTTTGATACCTTTGTATCCGGTTGCCACTAATGTCCAAATGTTTCCTGTTTCCATCACCTGTCTCCTTCCTGTAACTCCAGAGGGAAAACAAGAGGTAGGGCATTTTGAAGTGTGGACCGCAGCCATCAGGAACAATCGTATCAAGCCCCTTCTGTGTATGGCTTATTGAAGCTGGAATAATATGGCCAGGTAACTTCTGGTCTCATGTCTTTATTCATGTCAACATCATACACATAGGTTATTAGATATATATATATACTTCATTTTGCTGTTAAAGCATTGAGAATACATACCCTGTTTTAAAAGATTAAAATAGCACTCTTGCTGAAAAAATAGAAACCTCAAAAACAACATATAATTAAAAAGTTATTTTAGACTTTGCCACCTTTTCAGACACATTGATTTAACCGCATTAAAATTGAAGATCATAACATTCCTTTCTGGATTATAATCAATATTCAAAGTGAAAATCTACCTAAATTTTTCTATTGAAGTATAAGTGTAGAGGTGAAAGTTTTCCATCTCTCTCCCTCCATCAATTTTAACGCTCTCAAAATGGGTCATGTCTAGCCCCAGTAATGGGCATTTAAAAACATATACACCCAGTGGCTAGTTTTGGTTTCTAATATTATTCCTCAATAAAAAGAACAAGATTCCTTGGAGAAATGACTGATTCTAGGACTGGCCGGAAGTATACAAGATGGAGCTTAAAGTAGCTTCTAGTGCAAAAAGTAAAAAAGTGCTCAAAACATCCACAATGGTAGGAGTATGTCAAAGAGACTCCAGAACCAACTGAAAGATCACCCAATGGCCCAAGCTGGAATAATTTGAGCAGCGAAACCAAGTAGGATTAGATTATAACCCAAAGTATAAAGTAAATATCTGTACTGATATAAATACATGATTGAATAAGTAAATAAATAAATGACGAATAGACAAATCTGTGCAGAAGATTTCCAAATAATTCAACATAATTCCTCACTGCTTAATTGTGGGTTGCACATAATGACATTCTTCCAGTAGTATAATATGGGAAGGGGGAAAAAGAAGTAAGTCCAGAGTGGAGAAGCCTGGCAAACACATAGCCCAATGATCAAGGTTAAAATCAACAGCGATATATCATGTTAATAGTATATACCCTTCACATGATGTGATGAAAATGGCACTTATCTCCACAATCTTTGGTCCCCCAAACCCATAATGTGAGTCTATCCATGAGAAAAACCTCAGATAAATCCAAATTGAGGGACATTGTATAAAATACCTTACCAGTACTCCTTAAAACTATTAAAGTCATCAGGGGTACCTGGGTGGCTCAGTCGGTTAAGTGTCTGACTTCGGCTCAGGTCATGATCTCACAGCTTGTGAGTTTGAGCCCCACATCAGGTTCTATGCTGACAGCTCAGAGCCTGGAGCCTGCTTTGGATTCTGTCTCCCTCTCTCTCTCTCTGCCCCTACCCCACTAGCACTCTCTCTTTCTCTCAAAAATAAATAAACATAAAAAAATTAAATAAAAAACTGTTAAGGTCATCAAAAACAAGGAAAGTCTAAGAAACTGGCACAGCCAAGAGGAACCTAAGGAAACATGACAATTAAACATTAATATAACATTTTGGATGAGATCCTGGTATAGAAAAATGACATTAGGTAAAAACTAAGGAAATCTGAATACAGTATGGATTTTAGCTAATAATAATGTCTCAGTATCTGTTAATTAATCATAAATAATGTAAGGTGTTCATAAGAGGGAAACTGGGTATACAAGAATTCTCCATATTATCGTTGCAACTTTTCTGTAAATAAAAAAACTATTCTAAGACAAAATATTTGCTAAATGAAAGCATATAGACAGGATTTGGGAGATTTAGGAAATGTTTCCCTAAACAACTTTTCTTATTTCCCTATTGTCTGATGAGAGAGTGCCACCAGGGTGATTTTGGGTATATGTATACTTCCTTCTGCACTTAAGGTCAGTAGAATAATATGTATATAGAAATGGTTAATTCTGTGGAAAGTCCAAATTATTAAGGGTAATGGTGGGGAGAGACAGGGAGAGAGAGGGAGAGAGAGAATTGTAAGCAGGCTCTGAATTGTCAACGAAGAGCCGGACTCAGGGTTCAGTCTCACCATCTGTGAGATCCTGACTTGAGCCGAAATTAAGAGTCAGCTGCTTAACCGACAGAGCCACCGAGGTGCCTCAAAAGGGATTTATTTTTAAGAAAACTGCATCTGCTTGCACTCCAAAAAAAGTATGAATTAACAGATTCACAGACTTCAGTTCTGCTTTGAGCTCTTTGCATAAGTCTGAAATACATATATATTATTCTGAAATGGAACAGCTGAATCAAGAGAAATTATGAGAAAATTTATAGTCAGAAATTTACAGAATAACTACAAATTCCATGTAAGGTAAAATTAATCTCAGAATATTGGTGATAACCAATGCTCATTTTTAAAAATACAAAAATAGTCCCAGAGCCTGTGAATGCAAGTGTGTTAGTTGACAAGTAATTATTATTTCTTGCTAAAATAATGTTATGGTTGGCTTTTTACAAAAAGTAGACAGTTTCTAAGCAAACCACTGTGATTTAATTTGGTTAGAACTGGAGGTTTTGTTCTAGTCATTACATTTTCCACCCAAGTTAATTTGGTTATCTGCCCCTGCAAAAAAGGGTAGGAAGTCAGCAGTGGCAGAATGGCTGGAAACTGAGTCATCTTGACAGAATGTGGTGGGAAATTGCATGCATGTGGTTGCCTCTTTCTGTTGGGCTTCTGTCTGCCTAGAAGTTGCTTCTTTAGGAAGGAGGCCAGTAGAGCACTGCATATTCTCCAGCATATTATTTTCTTCTCAGTTAGAAGCCCTAGCAACTAAAGCTTACGTGGTGTCAAAAGTTAGCTAGGCAGACTGTTGTATTCTGATAAGGTGTCCGGGGCCATTAACTTCTTAGTACCCTGAACAGTAAGGCAATAATGGCCTGGATAAAGAAAGAATGTTTATACTGTGATTGCCTCACCTCTTTTTTCCCCCCATGGCCAGATCTTTAAAAGGCACCTTTCTTTAAGGAAGAATGAGTTCATTATATGTGAGGTGCCATCTATT